GAAAGAGATTGGTTAAATTAGCCCCCCCCCCTCAGAACAATAAATTAAGAAAAAAGAAAGGCGGTGATAGGGGGTATCTCTCCCCACAGGAAGTGCAATGACCACGTTGACCATCGAGGAAGGTGAAACAGAAAGTTAAAATAAATTTAAACTGCTATATAAAAAAAGAAATAAGGTGTAAGAAAATTAAAAGATTAGATATAAATTAAATATTAAATTATCACTTTACACAAAGTGTAAATGTGACACTATAGTATGCAAAAAACGCTGAAAATTAAAAATTACCAATATTTAAGTAATTGCTAATAAAATTAATTAAATAATTTTTTTAATTCTTGTAAATTTTTTTAAATATTTCATCTCATTTATGACTTTACTTTCTTCTAAGTAAAATATTTTTAAGTAAAAATGACATACTCTGTCATTATTTAAAGCTCAGGAGGTTAAGAGATATATAAACTTAATATTTCGTGCTTTTTTAGATCAAAATGAGCATATCACTTGTGTTTTGTTTTAGAATTTGTTGTTAGAAATATGACATAGCTTTCTATTTGTACAAATTGAAAAAGTAGAAGTAAAAATTCTTAAGAACTCATTCCTGAAAATAAGGATTAATTAGATCTAACGAACCAAGATATCTTTAAAATGGGAAATGTATTATGGGATATCTTTAAAATGGGATATCCAAGATATCTTTAAAATGGGAATGTATTCACTATATAAACGTTGTACACAGGTATGTGAAATTTTGTTACGTTCTTGCAAGTCATTATAGGCGCACTGATTGTTCTGGCAATGAGTACATTTTGAGTATGGGGAATTTCTAAGGCAGATAACTATACACATATATTATGTCCTTTTAACATTTAAACTATACATCTATTTAACAAAACTGACCCAAACGTGGCGTGTCAAGTCATATGTGGGACAAAATAATTTTTATTTTCTAATGCTAAAAATAAATTAATTTCAACGTATTTTGAACATTCTGTTCGTTTTTCCGAATTTTTCTTAACTTTCTCTAGATGCTTAAAGAACAGTTTCACGTCACGTCTGAGACGAATAGTTAAATATAATCTGCTAATTTTTTATTTATTTATTAATTTTCAATTTTTTAAATACATTTAAATAAAACTATTTTTATCTGGTTATTTTTCAAACAACGATATTTTCAACGCAGTTATCTTTTTACAAAATATTTTTTTTAAACTTAAATCCTAATTAAATTGTAATTGCCACGTGTGGGACAATCTGTGGTTACGTCTTAAAAAAATAACCACACTTCATATAAAGTTCTAAATCCGTCAACTGATATCATTTAGGAGAGCAAATTTAAACGGTGCAGTTCTAAATTTTTTTAACTACAATTATATAAAATAATAATAAAGTAATTTTTGAAAATTATTTATTTTTTCTGCATAATTCTTAGATAAACGCGAATTTTATAATTTCGACAAAAAGTTCCTGAGTTTACCTGATTAAACTATTGGGACCATGTTTTCCAAATTGGAAAAAACCGCATTCCGGGGAAAAGAGACATGTTCTGGAAAAGTAAGCTTTTGTGTCTGATTCTGCAATTTAATTCATAATCATCATTGTCTACATTACTTTATACACTAATTCAAGCAAATCCTCTGTGTCAAAATTAAACAAAAATGCAAAAATTTTATAAATTACAACTGGCTATTAAACTTAACAAATTACCTTAAATCAAGAATGCAAGTTAAAATAATTTTGAAACAGAGTAGGGCAGAATACCTGGATAAAAATTTTCAATATACCTTTATTGAAAATAAATAAATAAACAAAATATAGCTAATAATCGCAAATTTTTACTCGTAAAGGAATTTAATTGGTTTCAAAAGGGATGATGCAACTTTTGCAATGATGCGAAAGCTGAAATGCTTATTTAAATTTTCAGTAATTGGCCGTAAGTCTTCTGCTTTTAATTTATCCCATTCCCGCCGATGCAAAAGTTATAGAGCGATCAAACTTTAATGTACAACAATTGTGCACAGAGGGGATGAATGAATTCACACTATCGTTTTCCTTGCCTAAACAACTCTGAAACAACAGATCTTTTGCCTGTCATTGTAATAAAGCCAGAAAAACAAAATGTAAATTAATGGATATATAATAAATTAAAGTGATAAAAAAGAAAATTAACAAGAAATTTCAATTTAAAACAAGATTAACAAATTAAAAAGAATTTATCTAACTTCGATTCTATAGTGCAATAAATTTTAGGTTTCACGTCCAAGAATTTTTTATGACATCATGATCAATGACTATAAGGAATCATAATTAAAAATCAGCAAGGAATCTTGATTAATAATAATCAGGCAATCATAAACACTAGTAATCAAGTCATTCTTATTATAAGTAATCAAGTTTTTGTGGTGTGAATTGAAGTCTTCCCCTTTCAATGCTTACGAATTGCATTGCATTGCTTTTACGTTACACTAAGTATAGTGATGTCACACTGCGTAAAATTAGGCACATCCTGCAGTTGTTCATTTTGGAACAAATGTTTTTCTTATATTTTTGTCTGTCCCTCGCAAATAGTCAGATTTTATATTTATGCTTACCAATATTTGCTCTTTACACAGTGCCGATGCTAAAGATGATATTATGGAACTCTCTCCGAAAGCCCAGTTATATGCAGTAAAAGGTGATATATATATTCTGAATGGAAACAATGATTACAGAAATGAAGGCATTACCTTTATAAATGTCCTGCACTAATGAAAAAATAATAAATTAAAGAGTAATTTTCCTCAAAGCATAGGAAATGCACTTAGTACTTTTGGGACAATAATATGAAATAATTGGAAAAGCATCATGATATATTTTTTTAATAATATGCATTACAGTTTCCTCAAAAATGAATTTTTCATCAAAGGGGACTTTCTGGGACTTACGGTTTCGAATGAATAAATAGTTAAATATATTTTTTTTAAATTTCTTTTAATTCAAGACTTTAACTACTTCAGTAAAAATATACACTTTTTAAAGAACAGTTTATTTAAATAAATTAATCCATATTTATGTGAAGTCGTTGTTACATAATCGACATAATCTGTGCGCAAATACGCACATGATCAAAAGTACAGGAAAACTCAAGATAACAAAATAAGATCCGGAGAACTCAAGATATGAACCTGATCATGTGATATTTTACATGAAAATACATCGAAGTTTGGAAAAATATGATGACTTAATGTCAATGCCACAAACTCAATATCAAAACTTAATGAGCATCACAACCAAATAGTCCAAAAAAGGTGCTGCAAAACTATTGTGGAAGGTTAAATATAAGATATGACCCTTGATAAGGGCTAAATATCATATATGACTCTTGATAAGGGTTAAACAGGAGATATGAGATTTCGAAGGAGTGACCAATGCACTGAATTATGCACTGTACGATTCAAGTCTGGAGGTCTCTCTGGCCACTCCACTATCTGTAATTTTTCGGCTTCAGGTTATTCCTGTGTGGATGCGCATTTCCATCCATAAAGATGAGCTGAGGGCCGTCATCGCCTTTGATTAATCTTATATAGCTCTCTAAGATCTCAGCCATATACCTCAGAGAAGTCAGCGTACATCTCTAAAAATCGAGCAAATATATGCAAATGTTCAACATCAAGCTAGCCGGACCATATTATCTTGACTTCCATGACGATTCATCCCCAAAATGTTGATGTTAGTTCCCTTTATATTTATGGAAACGTGGAAAATAATCATTAAGATATTGAATTGGGATTCCTCCGTAAAAAGAATTAAGCTCAGTGTATCAGTACTGGTACATAGACTAATTGCCAGCACGCTTATAGAGAAAGTTTTTCATAGATCTTTATTTCACTGAATTCTCTTTGATGAATGGTAAAACTCTTTGAGACATATGTAATATTGTTCAGAGGCGCTGCCTGCCTGCAGTTTATTTTTTACGTAAAACGAAGCGGGTCCACTGAGACAAGCCTTGGAGCCGAAGATATACAAGGAATGGAGTTTTGCTGCCAAATCTCTAGATATGAGTCATCCGAAGCATGTTTGGATGCTTTAGACTCCTCAATTATAGCTCACCATACCCTTCCAAAATTATCCTAATGCGAATATCTCCATTATGTATGATTTTCGTTAAAACGGGTCATACTCTATATTAAACTCAAAATAAAATATTTTAAATTCAATTTATATCTTTGGATGCTTATAAATGTTAATAACTACAAATGATTGCTTTTATGTACTATATTATTTTATATATCATTTTGAAAGAGAGTTAAGGAAACGATAGCTTCTTGCAAATTTGTTTAAGGCTGTAGAAAATTTCGCTGGAGACACAACTCTTGTCTTGAAGAGGACAATTACGCTTTTAAATTTACTTAAATTAAATTGTAAATCTGTGGTAGTTTTAAAAATATTTCATTTAGTTCAATAGTGAAAATATTTCGATTTTTTTTTAAAATAAAATTTCTTTAGAGCAGAAACAGTTTCTTCTTTCTTGTTAAATTTATCGAATAACTCACGTTGATTGGTATAATGAACTAATAATACTTTATACTTAAATGACTCTGCCTAAATATAATGCAGTTTGACTACTTAAAGAATCGTAGTTTTAAATATTGAACATTGAAAATAACATTGTTTTAATTTAAAACATCATCTGCGCTAATTAATTAGAATATTCAATTTTTGGCAGCTGAGCAACCATTCAGATAAAGTCCTAGCTCGTAAAAATCCGATCCTTAGATGAAAAGTCATTCAGTGTGTTCACTTTTTTGCCTGATGCACATTAGATATAACAATAATTACCAGCTTAGTTGCTATACTATAATTATAATTGTTTTAAAAACAAATTCATATAAGGAACTAATCCCTAATATCATATCAAATTTATTAACAAATGTTTCAGTAAGCGATAAAAAATTTTTTTTTTGCTTAGTTAGAGAAAAAATGCCATAGAAACAATTTATATTCCTTGTTTATCCACATTTCCTCTATATCTTTTTAATGATAAGCATCGAGGCATTTTTTAAGGAAAAAGAAAAATGACATTGAAGTAAGATAATAGGATAATATTAATTTGAGTGTTCTTTCTCTTTTCGTGTGATTTAAATCAATTGATTAACAGTTATTAGAGGTTTTTGCACGTAAGTTGTGTCACTTATTTTTCTTTCAGTTGTTGCTTGTAAGTTGTTGTTGCTTGTTGCTTGTTGTAAGTTGAGTCATTTATTTTTATTTTTAACCCAATCGTTTTTTATATCATATCGTTTTGCATATATTTTCCAAGTAAAATCATTTGCCTCAAGTAGAATATTTGTAGCGTATGTGTCAATTTGACAGCTGTATAGTGTGCAAAAAAAAACAAATTGACTCTGAAAATTTTTTGATCCAATGATCGGATCTTCAAGTTCTACGACTCAATTTTAATAGTTCGAAGGATTCACTTCAAATATACTAATTTATTAGATCAGGCGATAATTTAAGTTACGAAATCAATCTCGAAACGTTCTTTCTTTGAATAGACATAATATTGTTTTCAATATTCCGATTTCTGATCCTAAAAATATATGAGGTTACCAGAATCTGGGAAATATGGTCCCAATAGTTTGTTCAGGAGAGTGCTTCAAAGCTTGGATCCCTTAACGTTAATTTTATTTTTTGCGTATTTCTTCATACCTCGAAATATTTTAAAAAGAAAATTAATATTTATTATTTTTTATTATTTTATTTAATGTGATTATCTTAAAAAATGTAATCACCATTGTATTGCCATTTTAAAATGTATCACCATTTTAAAAAATGTAATTTTAAGTATCAGAACACAAAGTTTGAGCAAAATCGGTCGAAAAGTTCTGGAGAAATAAAATTTAAAAAAAAATCTTATACTAAAAATTCTCCGGAATGCTTCGACCGATTTCGCCTAACCTCTTTAATTTGCCATTTAAAATTACATTCTTTAAAATAGTGTAGGAAATTGTATACCTCACAATTTAAAATTCTTTTGACCATCATTAACTAAAATAATAAAAAATAATAAATGCTTATTAGAAGTTACTTTATGCATCGATTTATCTTTGGACAATCGAACTTTATGTATGAGTGCAAAAATTTTTCAATTCGTTTAAAAGTATGAATAAAGGTATATCGAGATATGACAAAATATGCAAAAAGTAAAATTATTATTAAGAGTTACAGAGTCTCCTGACCAAACGATTCGGACCTTGTTTCCCAGATTGAGGTTATACCCTATATCTTGTGGGTCAAAAATCAAAATCTGTCAATAACAACAACAACAACAAACGACAAGTTTATTCCGAAAAAGTACGTTTTTGTGTCTGATTTCGCAACTTAAAATAACGTCTGCTCTAATTATTTAGCATACTTAAGGTTGACCCCTCAAACCATTGAAATTGAATCCTAGTAGTGAAGATCCAATCCTCAGATCAAAAGTTATATACGGTGGTCTGTTTATTTTTTTGCGCACTGTACATTGAAAATTAAAACTCAAAAATTTTAAAATATTTCAAGTTGGATATTTTGGCAAAAAAATAAATATAATTCAGTTTTAAAAATAGGCTGCTCTGGGGCCTTTTCTCGAAAAGTTAATTCATAAGCTGCAGCAGTTGTTATTATTTTCACCTATCAAAATGCTGTGGAATTAAACTTAATGATTAAGTGCACAATAGGATGAAGGGAAAAGCAAAATATATTTAATTATTTATGATTACAATCCTTTTATTTTGTATTTGATCAGCAAATAGTTTTAGAATTCTTGAGATTTAACTCTCACAGCCTCAGTTGCACTCGAAAAATACTGTATTTATATATTTCTATGTTATTGCAATAAAAGATTTTATGCTGGCTTTCTGATACACAATATAAAAAATTCCGGATCAAATTACGGTATAAAGTATCGGCACTTTGGGTGCATCCTCCGTAAAATCCATTTTGCAGTAAAATCCAGTTTTACCGTAAAATATTACACCATAATTTTTACTGTAATATTTATTAATATTTGCACCATAATTCTTACAGTGATTCAGTGATTTTACAGTAATTATAAATGTAAAATTTATGGTTTATCAGATTTTTTTTAGTTTGTAACATGTTCTGGTAAAAATGGATTTTACAGTTAAAAGTACCGACACATTGAGTGCTGGTGCTTTTTGCCGTAATTGATTCGGAATTTTTTACATTAAGATCAGAAAGCCAACAGATATTATTTTTTTGCGATAAAAATATATTTACATATTTTAAGGCTGCCTTTCGGGTAATTGTTCGATTTTTAAATGTGAAATAATGACCGTATTTATGAAGTGCAGCATCAGAAATCTAGTTCGAAATAGTGAAATTTATCTCAAAGGCCTCACTCCAATAAAACAGGATAATATGATGATAAGTTTTATTTTAGTAACACTTTTCTCACAATCATTACTCATAAAATTTTGCCACCCTTCAATTGCTTATGCAAATTTTAAAATCAAACAAGCTTATAAACTCATTGGTTATAAGACTTCGCTTTTTTATTTTGATTTAGAAAATAGTCTGCTCTGGGGCCTTTTCTCGAAAAGTTAATTCATAAGCTGCAGCAGCTATTATTATTTTGCTAGATATTTATTGTCGGTTAGAATATTTTGTATTAAATTTTATATTATTATAAAATAATAAAAACTTCTGGGCGAAAGGTTCTTTATAAAAAAAGGACTAATCTGCTAATCTTCTTAACAATAAAATTATTAATTACGTTCACCCAAATGTCCTCTTGAATTCTGCTTGACTGAGAGAAATAATGCAATTGCCGATTATAAACGGTTTAAAAAAATAAAAAACTTTATTTTTCTCATTATTTTCCACACTTCTTAGCAACAAGTACATTGTGCTAAAACAATAAACTTAACACCTTGAACTTCTAATTAAATGATAATGTTATCAAAATGCTATCTCAAAGGGAGCAAAACAACCTATGATAAGTCAATTAGCTAGTGCTAATTTTCAAATACAATACGAAATAAACACAAAAACTAATATTCATTTAAAGCATAGCAAACCCTCTTTTAACGGATAAAAACCCTCAAAAAAGAGAGGAGCTTCAGTAATCTAAGTAAGTTCATTAGTTAGAAGAGTAGTACAACGTTAAAATTTCAATAAAGTGAGAGTTTTTTTTTTCACAGCTTCTTTTCTTTAGCATATTCCAGCTTCTAAGTCCTAGATCTCTTTTTCCGAATATTAAAAAAGTCAACTCGCAGCTTTGTCTAAAAGTGGAAGAATCAAAGCTTTCTCAACTAAGTTTAGGAAAATTGTTGAACAATATCTTGCTGAACTTACGAAAAAAGATCGGAGAATCGATCATTTTATTTTTTATTTTTTTACAATTTAAATTGAAAGAACGCTTAAATATCTTCCCCGTTGTTACAATTCTTCGGGGGGTTTTCTTTTTTTTTTTAAACTTATATCTTTGTCTTCTCAGAAGAAACTTAACAGTAATATTAGTATTCTTTTCATTTGGGCCTAAAATTAAATTCATAGCCATAGAAGAGTGATAAAACTTAGGGGATCATTGGGGTGTTTCCAGATAACGGAATTCTACATTCAGATATAGAACGTCATTTTACATTAAAATTATCAAGAATAGGTGTCAAATTCATGAAGTTTAGGGCTGTTAGTGAAAGCTATATGAAGTTAAATGAGACAATATGTTGATATAGCATTTCCTACACTATTTATGACACAGAGAAATAATGATTTTTATGGAAGTGTATCGTTTTTACCCTGATCAATACAGCTATATCGTTCGCAAACGAAGCTATATACGTTTGCATACATTATTATTATTATTATTATTGAAAATTAAACTTGCCGTTTATGATCTTACATCAAACTCTCTATTTTAGTAACAAAAGATGTTTAAAGTCTGGTTAAAATATCTTAAACGCACTTGACCTACCTTTAGTTCACTCTCTTAACAATGCAATTTCCTTAAATGAAAATCGGCAACTGAGAAGCAGCGTAGCACAGAATAATTGAACATGAGACATGAGATTGACCCCGACTAAGAGGAGATTAAAATTGTCAAATTAATTGATTTAACATTTATGTTTTTAACGATTTAAAGAGTGCACTTGCCGTTTACCCGACAGATGCGCTTGTGCGACAGTACACCCTTTATAGGTCCACACAATCAGACTAATGTAGTATCGGGCAGACGTGCCCATCTTACAAATGAGTTCTCAGATGACCGAATCTAGATTTGAAACATAAAACGTTAATAAAATAAATGTCTTGAAAAGTTTTAATGTTTTACTATTTAAAGTATGTTACTATTTATTATTTGAATCATCGACTATTTAAAACCTTTAAACTTTTATGACGTACACTGTAAGAAGTTCCGGATCAATAAAAGAGTGCTCACTCAGGGTGCTAGTACTTTTTATAGTTAAATCTAATTTTACCGGAACATGTTACGGAATAAAAAAATCAGACATACCGTAATTTTTGCAGCAATAATTACAGTAAAATCCCTGAGTCACTGTAATTAAATAAATAATACTGTACAAATTATGGTAAAATGGATACGGTAAACGGATAATGCACCCAAAGTCCCCTTATGTCATACCGTAATATGATCCGGGATGTTTTTACAGTGTAACAAAGTGCAGCGTTACGAAGTACTTTATCTATTGTAGGATAAAATGATGTTTCATCAAAATGCGTTGTTTTTGGCATTGTTACTTGGATTAAGCTGTATCATTTCTTCGAAGCAAACTGAGTAAGTAGAAAAAGTCTGTCGTTATATGTATCGTATATTGTCAATAATATTGTTAGTATGTCTGTCAATAATATGTATCGTATATTGGGCTAGATAGAAAAATAACAACTTTGGATCCATAAAAAATTCAGAAAATTTATTTCGACCATTACTTAAAAATCGGTAGTAAATGTTTTAAGGACCCATACGGGAGAACAAAATTTTATAAACAGCAAACATTTCAGTTTTTGAAGACTTCTTACTTTATTAATTTTTAAGTTATTAAATTTTTCAATTAGCAAAGCTGTAACAATTATCTTTGAAATCCAAACAAAATATTCTAAATTGAAAACCTCAAAAATATATGCACTTCTAAAATATCTTTATTTCTGAAACATATCCTCAACAAATATTTGCGAACTGTTTCTAATTATTATGAAAAATAATTGAGAAGTTATTGAAATTATAATATGATTCAAAGAGATTAAAAATATGGTAGAAACATGAAATGAACTATTTGTATAGCGCAAATAATATAAAAACAATAAAAATATCCTATATAGAAACATCAGTTATGGAATTAAATAATGTAATTATTAAAATATAATTTTAAAATATTGTTACCGAGGTAATATAAAAACAACTAAGGGATATTGTTGTACGAATATTCCAGAAACATTTTAGGAATTAAATGAGCTGTGTTATTATTATTTCAATTATCTTGAATCTATGAGTGTTGGTCTTAAATAAATCAAATAAATTTTTTTTTGTTCCTTCTATTAGAGTAAATTGTCCTGAACAACCTCATTCAGAGGATTCATGCCCTAGGTGAGTATTAAAATGCATGTTCTTACGCAAATTTCCCTTTATTTCAATAGACACTTTTTGCTGTAAATACATTGTATTTTTTCTTAGCAAAGTCTTAGTGTATTGACACTAAAAATACCAAATGGGTCTCTTTAAAACAAAATAAAAATGCTTTAAAGAAATGGACAATTTCCCGTTTTTCTAAAATGCTGTTCAGATTCATTTTGATTTTTATTAATTTAAAGGCATTATTAACACTTGTAAGCAAATTTTTTGCTATGTATGCACTAATTCTTAATATTGCCTAATCCGGGTGTGGGAATTTCTAAACTGATATTCGTCTTGCTCCTACAGATTTTTTTAAAATTAAATTTTTTAGTTTATTTTCTGCCGAAATGTACAAGTTTTAAAACGTTATATATAACAGGGGGTCAGGTAAAAACTGTGAACTTCTATGAGAGTTAAGGCTTTTTTCATATGACTTTTTAAAACAAATGAGTGAACTGCCTACATTCCATTTTTTTATGCGGATGAAAATGCATTTTTCTGCATTCTAACCAAGCACAAAATTTTTTTAATTTTTTTATAATTGAAATAGAACCCAAAATCTTAAAATCATTTATGACTTACCAGAAGTATATCGTAATTCAGAAATTAGTATTAATTTAGTATTTATCTATTTTTGAGTGAACAACTATTTTTAAACCAAATTTGGGATTTGAAAAAATATTCGCTAGAAAACTTTATCCTCCATAAAATTAAAATAAAAAATAAATTTAAAAAAGAGACTTTGAAAAAGAGAGTTTTCGATTCATGAATGGGAATTCAATGTTTTTAATACACTATAGATACTTATAACTAAAAATATCTACTATATCATTCCTTTAGCTCTAATACTCCGAAGCCACTGCCATTAGCATATACTTGCATGAGCATTACATACAATGGCAAAACAGACGACAGAGCACCAATTGTCGTTGTGCATGGTTTTACTATATTCAAGGAAATGTACATAGATATAGCAAAATACCTTGCTCTGAAAACAGCTAGAAAAGTAAGTAAATGCATTGTTTCAGTCAATTCATGTTTTATAAAAGCTTTTATGAATATACTATGGGAATTTTCTATAAAATATAGAGGCATTTTGTACTTGAAAAATATGAAATGCTACGCAGCATATTTTGTTGAATAACTCTCTAAGTTAAAAAAAATAAAATAGTTTTTAAACTTCGCAGTTCATGATACAATAAATACTGCTCGAAAAAGTAAATCAAATCAAAGAATTGTGTAATCAAAGAATTGTGCTGTGAATTTTCTATAACACTGAAAAATTCTCACAAAAAATAAGTTTACACCAAAATTATAGTTCTTTAATTGGAAATTTTGAATATTTAATTGATTAATAAGGAATTGTATTAAATATCATATTGAGTATCTGTCCTAAGTGGTGCTGCTGATTTTTATTTCTGTGTTGTTTAAAGAAATTTTAATCATCTCTATTTGAACTCTTTACAATTTTTGTAATAATTTTGCAACGCCCTGTGCGTTCTGTTGCACTTCAGTGCATTTAGTAACTTTTCATCAAATGTTTTTTGCTTCGAAACTTGCTTTGAATTAGAAAATGAGTGTACATAAATATTCAATAAAAACCACAAGAGCTTTCTTTTCATCCGATTTTCCAAATTTTTTATCAGTAAAACTAGAAGGTACAGGTGTTATTCCGCTTACTGGAACATGTTTCTTGAATTCGTTACCAGGCAACTAATTCACCTACACTTCTTTTAATTTATTTTATGTTTTATTTTTAATAAATTATGTAAGTCGATACATCACAATAAACTTAAAAATTTTAACGAAATTTGTATCCTCAAACAAATATTGAAATGATATCCTTTAATTTGACAAAATGTTTCCTCTACTATTCCCCTAAAAACAGTTTCGTCAAAAACCATGAAATTTAATTATATTTCGTGAAATTTAATTATATCGATATTTTATGAAATATAATTAACACACACGCTAGCTTTGAGTAAATAATTGAGTAAATAATTCAGCCATCCGTAGTAGATTATAAATTAAGACAGGGGGGCATTGATAAGTAAATAGTAAAACAGTATGTAAAAAATAATTAACTTATTACTCGACTTTTAAATAGGCATTTTTTCAATTTATTTATTTCACCTCTTAAAATAATAATTTTTAAATTTTTTAAAATTGATTATATATTTTCAGGTATGTGCTGTTGATTTACGTAACCATGGAGACAGCCCATGGAGTGATGAAACTGATTCAAAAGCGATGGCTTCAGATTTGGCACTTTTCATGAAAACAATTGATGCAGATAAATTAGTAGTAGTAGGACATAGCATGGGAGGAAAAGTTGCTTCCGACTTTGCCCTTACTTATGTAAGATGTATTTCAGTCTTATATTTTATTCTGGCTACATACATTTTATCCGTGCACTGTAACAACAGACCCTTATGGATACTTTTGAGCATTATATTATTAATATTTCCATATATAGTGAGCGAAAGGAAAAAAAATGTTAACCTAAGTAACTTTTCTCCCATTGATCCGATTTTTACGTATAAAGTATAATGATTCTAACTAATACAGATTTAACTAATACAGTTATATGTTGCTCCATTTTTTCTTACTAAGTCATGGTTTTCAAACAATAACTGAACTTTCTTTTTGCAGCACTGTAAAAGGAAGTCTTTTAAACTATGGTGTTTTAGTGATCGGTGTGAAGTATGATTGTAACGAAAGATAACATGAAAATTAAATATCCAAATCATTAATATCCATATTAAAATTACCAACCTAGTCTTCACGAAGGTACCTTAGAAATGTTCAATTATATGGGTTTTTAAAACCTGTTTTTTTTTAAGCTCTGGTAAGTCACTGAAGAAAACACGAGAAAATTTCTTACTGATTTATTAGTAAACTATCAGAATAATCGCGAATGGATAATTTCTTGGAAAAACAGAGGGGAAACAAAGTAGTTTTGATACCATTTTTTTAACCTTAGAAAGGATCGCAGAAATTTCAAAAGCGTATTTTTACGTCACCCGCTTGCAATGTGTCAACTACATAAAATTGACAAATTCTTCTATTAACCGTTTTTCTGCCGAACTCACTTTCATTAATAATTAGAAAAGTGCCTTTTAAGAAAAAGAGGTAGCACATTTGACATCAAATATTCTATGCCTTCATCTACCAATAGGCATTACAACGTTGACAAAAAGTTGTTTTCAAAATTTAATAAAAATTTTGTTATTATTAATATATTTCTGGCAGACTAAATAGCTTCTGCATCAGTAATGAATATTAACATTGAAATAGTTAAGTTATCAATTTTTCTTTCTTTCGGAAAGAAAGAAATGCTCCAAAAATAGAACATTGGTGTTCCACAGCTTAAAACATGACAATTCATCGGCACCACGGTATGAGAGCAAGCAAGTTTAGTTCAGGAATCTGAACATTACATTTTAAGAATTTGCCATAGTCTTGCAAGTTAACGTTTTTTGAACTTAAACTCTAGCATTATGTTTTTATGCAATTTTAATGGATAACTTTTCTACTTTTTTATAATATATATTATACATTTCAGCCTGATAAAGTGGAAAAGATAGTTGTAGAAGACATGAGACCGAATGGGATGAGTGAAGAAGCTCAACAAATATTTGATCCCAATCAAGATTGGCCAGAATTTTTAAGAAAACCCCTTCTTGACGGTTTAACTGAATATGAAGCTAAGGAGTATATTGTAAATTATTATAGGAAAATATTTGAACAAGTAAGAAATATTTTTACCTCAGTTTGTTTAAGCAGCAAAGAATTGTATGAAATGGTAATTGTCCTGACGGACACGAAATATTTGAGAAACTTAGTGAAGAAAAGTATCAAGATGCATTCTAAAAAATGACATTTTTTAAGGGCAATTCTCAGCTGCTTGTACTATTACTAAACCATTTCTCTGTTTTGGTTATTAATTTTATTTTTGATGATAAAATGAGTTTTCTCAACAGTTTCATGCTGTTTCTGCATTTTCTAAATTCGATGGATCTAAATTGACAGATGCTCTTTTTCTGTAAAAATATTTTTTCAATAAATTATTTCCGTGCGAATTAATCAAAAAGTATGGAAGGTTTAATGAATTGGAACTAGAACTTTTATAGCTAAAAAGTGCCTTTTCTAATCTGGCATATTTAATATTTTTTATGATAAATATGTATTAAAATTTTATGTAATTAGTATCATTAGTATAATGATTGTAAATGAAACTCTTAAAGAGAAAGCCTTTAGAACCTCTTTGCAATAGGCTTGTCCGTTTTTTCTTTAAACTTTAGGATTGAAAAAGGTAAACATGAACTTTTTGAAATTTCACGTATTTCTTCCTGAACGAATAGTCTAAATTTTACTAAGAATTTTTTTTCACACAACTGATACTTCTCAGATTTTTTTTCACCAAAAAAATCATATTTTATTTATTATTATAATTATTATATTTTATTTTTCATGTAACAACCAGTAACTTCTATCTAGAAGAAATATTCAAAGTTGCAGCATTTTCGGCGCATTATTTTTTCGTAATCATGTCCGTCGGGACGATAACTTTCACCGAAAATCAATTTTCAACTGCTAATTTTTAGAAATCTTTGAATGAAAATTTTATAAAGTTTTGTCCAAATTTTATTCTTTTTAAAGTTTAAATAGATTATTTTTCTTATTAAATTAAAAACGAATTCAGGAAAATCTGCGTCCTTTTAACGTTTAAAATCCATTAATTTTCAAGTGAGGAAAAAATAATATTTAAAAGATCTGACAGTATCGAAAACAATCACCGCATATTTGACATCTTAGTCATGAAACGTATATTTAGTTAATATGTATGTTAGTTTCAGCCTTATTACAAAAAATTTCAATGTTATTAATTCCAGTGAAGTAGAAAGTAATAGAGTTATTCAGAAGAGTTTTATATAAAACGATAAAACTTATTTACTTACCAATAATTTCGTACTTTTTTTTAATTATTACTATTAAATTTAATAATTTATAATAGTTTTTAATAATTTTAATGTTATGGTAACAATATTTCAAAGAAAATACTATCTTGTAAACTGCGCAATTTTAACACCCAAATTCAAAACTTGAATAAAATTGAATCAGTTCAATAGTTTCTGAGTTAAAAAGATTAAAAAAGTCAAAATATTGAATTTCAATTTTTTAAGAACATGCATCTGCATTATTAAATAGTGTACGGAAATTTCAAATTTCAATTGATAAATCACTATATATATATATATATATATATATATATTCATAAATCACCGTTTCAAACCTGGAAAATTTTTTTCATACACTTCAAATGGTTCAGGCAATTTTCGTCGAACGCAGCCGGAAAAGTATGAACTAAAAATAGCTTGAAAAAATTCATTTGAAAAATATTCAATGAAAATACGTATGAAAAATATTTAAGATTATTTTTAAAAATTGTGTGTAATCCATGATGTGCAGGTATTAAAGCTGAATGCGCCAAATCCAAGCTTGGATGTCATTATATGATTTAATGGAAGAGCGGATTTCCATCATTTTCGGTGATGATATTCGAGAATTTGTTTGGAAGATCCGCTTCATTGAAACTAAGAAACGTCACATTTATATCTAAAGGGTTGAATGTTATGCGATACCGAAAACAAAACTAAAACATAGCCTCGCACCTGTTTGGCGATTGGCGAGAATGCTCCTTTAACGCCAATAGAAATTTTCGACAACCCTTTCCAATCTACGGTATGGTCTGGCAATTGGCATACTGTAAAGAGGGAAAGCAAATATTAACCTAATACCAAGTTTATGTATGATTGTAATATGCTTGAATGTAATCAAAGATTAGATAATCACTTTATTTATTTAATGATTGATTATTATACACAATTTTATTCTGTACATATCAGCAACAAGAACATTTTTGATTCCTTCTACAGTGGATAAAAAAAAAAAATTTTGAGCAATTTATGGTCCATCTAACATAAAGGCTTAAGTTGAGTTACTTACTATTAGCTAATGTGTTATTTTCCTGGCATTCAAGAATTGGTGAATTTCTATTTTATATTTTTCATGAGAAAAAATTTCAATAAACTACACTGCTGTCTGTAAGATATTAATAAATGTAATTAAGTTAGTATACAATAAAAAAGTTTCGATTATTTTGAAGACTTTAAATTTAAAGAAATTTTTTTGTCCGAATTGTCATGTTTCCAAAGAATCCCCCAAACATCAAATTTTCATTTTCTTAAACTAAAATACCAATTTTTTAATACTAATTTATTTGTTAAATTTGATAAAATTTTAAAAAAAGTGTATGCTTGTTGCACTTTGGATGGATCCAAGGCATGTGCAACAAGTCCAGTTTGCGCAAATTATATTTCCCTGTGGACTACAACTCTCAATATCTAAAAATCGTTATGTTCTTAGAAAACTTATACATTTTTGAAATATTTCAATATAATATTCTTTAGTATGATGTTTGAAATTAACTTTTGAGGGATACATGGGAAATAAGTTTTTATTGCGTGAATATTCAAATTCTATCAACTATTTAGTTTAATAGAAAAGAACTCAAAATGAGTTGAAATTACCTATTTTAAGACGATATTCGATAAAAGTGACATCTCAATTTCTTTCCACCCTTCAACACTTCACAGTTTCGATTTCTCGAGCGTGTACTGTTTATCCTAAAAATATGATTTTTTACGTTACGTGCTGCCCAATTGCGATTCCAGCATTGGTAGGATTAAAGAATGGTCAGTGCAATCTTATCCCTACAATCTTTCTGCTCAGGAAGTTCTTTCGAGCGATACTGTGAATGAAAATATTAAACACTGGTGTGAGGATGAAAGTACAAGTCATCAATGTTGAAATATTTCAGTTATAGAAGACTTCAAAGTATTGCATGTACAGCTGATACAATTTTCTTACGAGGTTAAATATCGATTGCAATGATATATATATATATATATATATATATATATATTCCCT